ATATATATTTATTTATTTATTTATTTAGTTAGGTGCATTCGTTCTCATCTTATCTGCACTTTTTTTTTTTTTTTACACCATATGCAGCAGCAAATGTGGCAGAAAAACTCCAGAGGAAACACTGAGGGAATGAACCATTCTGAATCACCAGAGCGGAGTAAGAACGAGGCCTTTCCTGTTGTTTTCACCTGGTTAAGTGTCTTGTTCAACAGCACAACAGCAGTCACCAGCAGTAGATCCACTCTAGACCATTTTAACGTTCTCTCATGCCAGTACTAAAAACGACGGCGACTGATAAAACAGTTCTGCAAAATGAAAGAACTCCTGCGGCCCTGAACGCACCACAACCACATCCCCGAACCTGCTCAGACGCTTCTCACTCCGCGGAAAAGCCCGAGACAAACAGTTTTCCTTTGATAAGATCTCAAGAAAGTCCGAGATCCTTAGATAAGACATGAACATTCACTCACGGATGCTGCGTCTGCGGGTCAGGTGACTCATATCAGGCAGTGTGTGTGCGTTTGTGTGTACGTGTGTGTGTCCTGAAGTGCCCTGAAAAAACTGTTGTGTTGTCACGTCATGATAAAGACTCTTGACACACTTAAACTGAAATGTGACTGCACTTGTTTAATGTTCTGGATCAATAAACGGGGACAAAGGACACACCCTTGTGGTGCGCCGTAAGTGAAGGCAAGGCAAGTTTATTTGTACAGCACAATTCGTACACAACGTAACTCAAAGTGCTTTACAGAATAAGAAATACATTAAAATCACAATAAAATCTAATCAAAACATAAATAATCATAGAGATTAAAAAAAAAAAAAAAAAGAGAGACATAAATTAGAGAGAAGAGTGCGGAATGAAAACCTTTCAGTCATATGCACAGTTAAACAGAGCATGAGTACGAGGTTTTTAACAGGGTTTATTCACTCTTAACAACCCGTGAGAACTGGCAGCATAGAAAACAATAAATAAAACATCAAAATCAACTCTGCACCTTAAAATATGAAACTTATATTAAACAAAAATAAAGCACACAAACCTCGTGGGCTGACATCCACGAGGGGGCTAATCGTTTAACTTGCTTCAGATTTTCTTTGTTATACACTAAATAAAAACAATAAACAAGTGTTTACATTGATATTCCTATAAAATTTTATCTGACTCTCTTATTCTTATCTTACTGGAGATATTCACATGTCCGTGGCAATGCGTTGACAGCAAGGTGCGCAGTTAATTAGGTTTGGGTGGAACTTTCTATTATACTTTGTTCCATATTGTGATTGACCACAAGATGACGCAAAGTAAAATATAAAGACAAACGCGAAATTAAATACATAAATATTTGGGACCGTTACAGAACCGTTTTGAGCCTGGATTTAAACAGCATCACAGAAGAGTCTGTTTCACATGTTCAGACTGTTGCAGGTTTTAGCTGCATGAACCTGAAACGCTGACTCCTCGTGTTTAGTCGTGACTCTGGGCACCAGCAGGAGGCCGGTCCCTGAGCTCCTCAGAGTGTGAGATGTTCATGCGGCACTAACATGTCACAGATGGACTTTGGTGCTCGGCCATGGAGAGACTTGTCCAGATAAAAGTCCATTCTCCCTTACTTTTTTCTTTTGGTTTATTAAAAAGTTTAATACACACACACACACACACACACACACACACACACAGCCACACTTTGCTGAACCAAACAGCACATCTTTATAAGAAAGTGTCAAATGGGATCAGAAGTTGTTTATATGTTTTATGAATTCTTTCTGGGCAGGTCTAAAATAAGTGAGAGCTGGTTTCATTTTTCAGTTTGTGTCCATTGTCCTTCTACGATGATTCTTTAGTGGATAACTAGGGGGTCACAACAAACGCAAACGCCGCAACAAATACAAATGTGACAACACAACAAAAAGACACAACAAACCAAAAAAAGCCACAACCGAAGTGACCGCGGGACTCTATTTTAATGCAAACGCCGCAACAAATACAAACGCCACCACACAAACGTGTTGTGTTAAAAGTTATTTCAATAAAGAAAGAAAGAAAGACAGACAGATATTTTGTTGTAATGCTTTGTAATGATTTTCAATTATGTGATATTTCAATAACATGGGATATGTTTTCTAGCCTGATTCATCAGACGGTTTCACTTTGTAGAAACCGTCTGACATCGCAGTGTTAGAATTAGTTCGCTCGACAGTAGGCCGGTACTTTTTATCATTTAACCAATCGCTTCTATTTGGTCATGACGTATGTAACGCGCCACTAACAGGGTTAACTGGTATATTAAACTTTTCCCAAATCCCGTAGGAAGAAGGACAATAATGTCTTTCCCCTTGATAAAATTCACCAAACATTCTCTTTGTTCCAGCTTTAAATCCTCAATTTCAGGAATCGTTGACAACACTGAATATATGTCTCTTCTCTGATTGGCTGCTGCCTGAACTCGCATTCCTGGTGTTTTTGTGAACCGTCTAGTGTATTTTTATTCCTGACCTAGTCGCTGGAGAGAAATTTAATTGAGGGGAGGCACTAGGTGGCGCCAGCCTGGCTATATGTTTTCTACATCCCATGTTATTTTTTTCCTCTTATGAGGTGAATTACCAAACAACTCTATCCATCTCCTCCTGGTCTGGCCCTTCCATCAAATTTTAGAACCCACAAGTCAAAAAGTTTGCCCACCCCTGGGCTAGACCCAAACTGACCTAAGCTTGTTTTCAGACATTTTATTCTCTATATCAGGGGTGTCAAACAAATTTTGGTTCAGGGACCGTATCCAGCCTATTTTGATCCTAAAGGGGCCAGATCAGAAAACTCATGTCATATAAACCCCCAAAATAACAATAAGTTCAAATATTTGGGCAGAGAAACACAAATCTATTACAGAAATCTTTTTTAATTGATGAACTCTTTGTTTTACAAAGTATTATAATATTATAAACAACCTGAAACTTTAAGAAAAATAAAATTTCAACACAATGTTTTAACATGAACTTGTATGTAAATAGGAATAAGTCCATTTTTGTTGTAAAATCCTGCACTCGGCTCCACTTTTCTCATGTTGGACATTTTTCTGATGAGGGTTTCACGGTCAACAGTCAAAACGATCGTCCTTTAAGAGCGTTTGGAAAGAGACAAGTCTTCATTTGTGCTGCTCTGGTGGGAGGGGCCACGTACAGAGACGCTGGAGACGCTGCTGTGATAAACACCACAGAAAATTAACAAGATTTTAATAGAAAATATAATTTAAATATTTTAGTAGAAAACCAGCCGTAGGCCAGATTAAAGGTCTTGGGGGCCACATCTGGCCCCCGGGCCGTATGTTTGACACCTGTGCTCGAGATCATTTTCATAACCCGTTCTTGCTTTAGACATTTCAGTTTTTTGTTTTTTTTTAACCTCCTTATATTCAGACACAAGTCCTTACTTCTGGGTCTTAAAGGTTGTATAGAGGATTTTCCAAGGAAGGAGAAATCCAGCGACTGTTTGTCCTTTTTCAAATGTTGCGCATGTGTGAAACCACCCCCCCTCCCCTACAGCTCCTACGTAGAAACGCCTCCTCCCTCCTCCTCCTTACGCCAGAAACAGGTTTGTTTACAGCCGCTGCACATGACTTGTAAACAACTAACTACAGTGTTGGTTAGGCAAGACGGAGAAGTGAGGAGCGGGGGAGGGGGGCGGACATTTCGTGCGCGGACGAGAAGTGAGGAGCAGGGGGAAGAGCGGATCGGGCAGCGGGGACAGGAGCAGGAAAGGGGAGCAGAGAAGGTTGCGCGGAGATTCAGTGCGAATGAACTAGCTACAACACGCAGCAGCAAGCGGACTCTTTCTTTGCCTTGAAAATTACGTTTTCAGACATAGGATATCACTTTCATGTCCTGAAAAACGTTTGTCTAGCTCTTGAAAATAAAGTACGTTTTCATAATAAGCAGAAGTTTCCTGCGTCTGCTTCAGTCGCGCCATCGCTGGAATGAATCTTCAAGAATCACCTTAGTTTGGCTTCGCTGCTTTTCCCCTTGTCTTCTTCTTTCAGCGACCTCAAAAACGGACTTTCTTTTGCGGCAAACTGCTCCTGGATTCTTGTCGCCATCGCAACAAACTTTGTGCGAACTGCGAGGAAGATATAGGTCAAAAAAAGCCGCTAAGAACTGTTGCGTTGGTGGAGTAAACAGCGTCTGTGCGTCTTGCGTCTGTGGACTGCGTGACAGACGTACGTAAACCACGTACCGGCGGCGCAGGCAAGTCAGTTACACTAGAAACGTAGGGAGTTTGATTGACAGCCTGTCAGCTCACAGATAACGAGGCAGTGTCGTTATCTATTGGCAAATGTTTAGCCCCACCACGTCCAGAGTTGATGAATTTTTATTCTCTTTTTTTTGGTCATCATAATTACAAGGCTACTGCATCTATAATCTATCACTGACAATTTGAAACAAAAAAAAATCCTCCATACAAACTTTAACGTTGTCATTTATCCAGGCCCTATTATTTCGAAAAATTTTTACTTGTTTGTAAGGAATGATCATGTCCCAAAGTACAGAGTCTCCAGGCTAGTTTTTAACTTCTTTGATGAGCACTTTCCCCATTTATGGACAGTTTGTGTTGTAGTGTTTATAGTGTCGTATACGTGCTCCTCGACTGAAAAGTTGCAAGGCGTTGAATTTCCGCCAAACGCAACAACTCATAAAAACAACTCAAAGCAGGTACAGTCTGACATACAATTATCTACTTATGAGCCTGATGTGATTATCGTCCTATTAACAATATGAACGCAAATGAACCTGGACTTAACATTGGACAATAAAGGAGTCATAGAAGTGTCTTGTATGCCGGCAGTAAATTCTCAGAGACATAATAAGATAAGTGTCCTGGGGGCAGAGGGAGTGACTTCAAAGACAGACAGGGCAGAACTTATGACACAGAGTGCACTTTAATTATTATCTGTCGCAATGATGTTCTCGCTTTTCCGGTACGTTCACTTCTTCGGTTTCCTCTTCAGATCCTCAGAGTGTCTCCGATGAAGCTGCTGGTTGTGTTGCTCTTCGTTGGCTCTGCAGTGGTTCATAGCACAGGTGGGTTTATTCTCGAAGTTACTCTCTTTACTTTAATCATCTCAGAACGTATCGTTGTTATTGTTTTAATCGTGCACTGGTGTTAAATTCGCACACACAAATCCAGTAACATTTAAAAGAAGAAGAAATAAGGGGAAGAATTGTCGTATCTGCCCTTTTATTGGACAAACAAGTAATACAGGTCTTTTTAGACACCGGTTTTACAGTAACATGCTAAACATAAATTGATATAATTATGATGATTTGATTGCTACTGCTTTATGTTGTTGTCAGACGAGGTCTTAGTAGGAGTGAGTTACTGTATTTTCTGCACTGTAGGCGCTCTGGATTATAACACGCACTGTCATTGAATGGTCTATTTTCAAACTTTTTTCACATATAAACTGCACCGGACTATAAGGCGCATTAAACGAAACACAACAGTTCGATAAGTCAGTCAAACTTTATTTAACGTGTTCACAATAACTCTCAACTTCTTTCAAATGTAACATGGGCCCTGGTCAAGCAGAAGTAAACAACAAGGCCAAAAATTCAAGTTAATGCATCTGATATAAAAATGTATTGAACAGATACATATGTACTCTAGTTTATCAAACTGTTTACCTTTTTAGTTCTAAAGTTACATATGTTTTAAACAGACCATGTATGAAACATGGAACAAAAATTATTTCCCAAATTTCAAAGACCCAAAAATCATGTAAATAAATGGATGTATTTCATCATATCTTGTGTTATTCCATCTTTGAACTGTTGATGAAGGTACATGATAAAAAAAAAAAAAAAATTATTTAAAATGATAAAAATTTGCTTGAAAGGACTGACATATTTTATAGAAATAGTTTCCTTTCATTTTGAAGTAATATTAAAGTATTCAGAAGAAAAAAGCAACAAATGATGTAAAATCCTGCACCTTCTACTTGTTTGAACAATTTTCCCTCCGTTACTTTTCCCTCCGTTACCATGAACTTTCTTAATAAAAAATCTCATGACTCAAAAAGTCAGAGGTTTTTCAACCTAATCTTGTACCATATGGTAGAAAACTATATGAAGCAAATATTCAAACCAGTTTGTTAAGGATATGTAAGTGAGAACCAAGAGTTATCACTGTTTGGATTTATTGCCCAAAAAGTGCTGCATATTTCATTCCCTCCGTTACCGACATGAGTTTTAAAATTTTTTGTCAACAACTTGAAAGAATATCACAGGTTTAACTTTACCCTGTTGGAGTGTAACTCTTTCCTACATTCTGATACTTTACTTATTTCATTAGTCCCTCTAGTTTCTGAATAAGAGACATTTGAATGTAAAAAATCTGCCCCTGTTTCCCTCCGTTACCACTTGACTGGACCCACATGTAAAAAAAATACTGTCTGAGACACTAAATTGTTCGAGTATTCACAATAAGTCATAATAGTTCAAACAGTTGGGCGATTCTGGCGTCCAGCACGTCCACATCCCTCTTGTCGTGATCCGAGTCAGTGTGGTTACTGTTCTCCTGCAGTTCAGTGATGATTCTGGTCTTGGTGAAAGCTCGGACCACAGTTGATCCTGATCCTTAGCCCGGGCGTCCACGATCCGTTGGCAAATAATGACGATTGAGTCATTAATGTTGAATTCCCTCGCAGTTGCTCTATTCCCATGTTTTACTGCGTGATTTATAGCCTTGAGTTTAAAGTCCACGTTGTGAGCGTGTCTCTTGTCATGATATTAAAAGGAATCACAGTATGTTTTACTCCTGATGCTCCTGACTGCGGGAGCCGTAATGCTGCAAGTGGAGCGGCTTTGTAGTTTACTAAAGTCGTACTAAGACAAACCAATAAATTAATATATAAGACCCTCTGGATTATAAGGCGCACAGTCGTTTTTTTGATGAAATTAAAGTCTTTTAAGTGCACCCTATAGTGCAGAAAATTTGGTACACAGTTTTACACCAGCTAAGGAAATTCCCATTTGTTTCCGTGTGACTCTGTCTGCTGTCATGATCAGATCACACAGGGGAGAGGTTCTCAAAAGTGTTACATCTTATGAACAAAGTTAAGTATGAGAAGAAGAACCTTGTTTTTCAATATAAAACCAAAAATAAGAAGACGAACAAAAAAGCAACTATTTTCTTCATTATTTGCGCCTCTGGACTGAACCAGGACTGAACCAGGCCGGGACCAGACTGGGACTGAGACTAGGACTTAGACCGGGACCAGACAAGGACCTAGTCCGGGACTAAGGCTGAGACCGGGATCAGACCAGGACCAAACCATGATACGGGGACCAGACCGGGACTGAGACCAGGACCAGACCAGGACTGAAAATGATTCAGTCCTGGTTCAGTCCTGGTTCAGTCCTGGTTCAGTCCGTATGCGGCGCAATAGTCCCACATCGCATTTTAAAGGCACGGAAACCGTTTCCCATTTCTGTGACTTAAACCAGGACTAAACCATTTTCAGTCCTGGTCTGGTCCCGGTCTGAATCCTGGTCTTAGTTCTGGTTTGGTTCCAGACCTGATTCAGTCCTTTTTCAGTCGTATGAACGAATGATACATGGATTTTTCTTCTTTACAAAATGCTCCAAATTGTCCAGAGCACCAGCCTCAGACTCATTCAGACTTTCTGAGCAGCCGATATTCTCGTAATATTATGACTTTATTTTGACTACGATTTTATTCTCATAAAATTACTACTTTGTTCTCGTAGCGCCAGCATTTTTTTTATCTGACCCTTATACTCCGTCGTACATTTGCCAAGAACAGGTGACTTGTTAAAGTGGATGTCCGGCTACTGAAATTTGAGACGTTTCTTCTCGTCGTTTGCACACACGGGTAAAACATATCCCCCTCACTAATGTTCATTTAACATCAGAACTTATTTTATCACACGGCTATAAACTGTTTGAGTGCACTGACAGTATCGCGAGCGAGTGTAGAAACTTTATTTTAACCCTAGATCCATGTGTAATCGCACAGACAGCGACGTTTTCTTCCCTCAGACTGTGTGTATCCACTGTGTTTCCAAACCATAGACCGTAAATATGAACGGACAACGTGCCAAACAAATAATCCGTCCATATATTCACTGCATCGTTTTATTATCCGCAGGGTTCAAAGTGTGAGAGAAAAGTAGCGGCTTATAGTCCGGGATTCACAGTAAATCAAAATTAACGAGACGATCATAACCTGTTTTCAGAGCGGACGTTGCCTGGAGTCTGGGAAACATTCAATGGACGGAGTTTCATGTTTGTCAAGAGTCTGATGTCGTGGAGCGAGGCTCAGGTGAATATTTAACTTTCATAAATGTGGCTGGTTGCAGTGGTTGGCTGTTTTTGTGGCTTTCACACAGCAAATTTTTTTTTACTTCAGTTTTTAAGATCATATCATGGTATTTTAACCAACACTAAAGTGCAGTTTAATTTTTGCTTCAGCGAAAATTGAATTTCACACACAGTATCTCCATCTGTATGTATCCGCTCTTTTTTTTGTTTTTTCTTTTTTTAATTGGATCATTTGCGGTAAACAAAAACAAAACATAAACCACGTCTACATGGGTCATGACAGGAAGAGTCCGAGCTGAACAAACGGTACAAAATGCATCCACAAAAACAACTCCACACACTGGACATATAAGGCTACGTTCAGACTGCAGGGCTTAACGCTCAATTCCGATTTTTTTGTGAAATCTGATGTTTTTGCGAGGTCGTTCACATTTCCAATTAAATGTGACTTATATGTGACTCCAGTGTGAACATTAAACGGCCCAAAAGTGTCCCACATGTGACACTGGAGACACGACGACATCAACCGCAGCGAGCGTCTCTGTGTTTACAGAAGTTGTCCAAACATGGACGCAGCATCGAGCACCTGGAGATTTTAAAGTTCCTCTCGTACCGGAGCCAGAACATGAACAACTTACTTGTTTTAAGGAGGAGATTGAGAAGGAGAAGGACGAGGTTTTTGGTCGTGGTGTTTTGTGGTTCAGTCCGTTGAAAGGAACGTGTGGATGTGGAGACGGAGCCAAGAGTGGTGAGTGGTGATGTGCTTCACTTCAGTGACATGGAGTTCATTAACAATTTTCACCTACTTCAGTGCAGAATAGTGACGTTTGTGTCTTGTTGATAACGTGTAGGTGGATGAATGCGCTTTGGCCTTTCAGACTGAAGTCACATGTCAAAAGATCAGATATGTATCAGTTTCAGGAGCACATATCCAAGTGTCCTGGGTCACATTTAAAAAAATCGGATCTGTGTCGTTCAGACTGACATTAAAAGATCAGATACAGGGCACATAGAAGTCAAAAAATCTGATTCTGGGTTACTTCAGGCTGCAGTCTGAACGTAGCCTAAGAGACAAAATATAAATTAAAACAAACAAAACTCAATGTACAATTCACTCCAGAGCTCCATATTTTCCAAAACACAACAGTCTATATAAGGTTTATATAAAGTTTCTACAGTGTTGAACTATTTAAAGTCATTGCGCCGAATTTTTTCCCCCCGTTTATGGTCGTACAAACTAATAATAATGTTAACGAAGGGACAAAAGTTTATCGTTTATGATCGTGCGAAACAAACAATGTGAATGAAAGAATGTAAGGATTATTTGTTTTTCGTTTATGGTCGTACAAACTAATAAAAACTGTTTCAGTGTCTTAATAGACTCAGTGGAGCTGATGTGTTTAATATTTGTTTATAATTTGAATATAATTGGGGCGGATTTCAAACTAGATTTTTAGATGGTTTTAATAAAAGGCGACTTGGTGGTTTTACTGTTGACCTGTTTTTACTGACCTGTATTTGTTACACGGAGCTCATTCTTTTTAAGAGTTTGGTTATTTTTAGTACCGCTGGCTTTGCTAACAGGCAACAGGCAACAGGCTTTCTTCACCAAATCTGCACTCAGACTTTTATTCTGATTGTATTTCACTGCTCACTGTGCTCACATTGCCCCTTGGAATACTGATTGATTGACTGATTGATTGAAAGAAACTGACAAACAAAATAAGTAGGGCTGGGCAAAATAAAATAAAAAAATTATCGCATTAATCGCAGGAGTTTGAGCGATTAATCACGTTTAATCACATGTTATACGCAAAACCGATTTAATGAATTAAAAAGTAGAAGTTTAGTGCACTTTTATTGGAAATGTAAATAAAAGAGCCAAACATTTGTTGTGCAAACAGCATTTCTCAGAGTCTTCGAGGTGTTCAGTGAAGGCTCAAGAAAAAATACTGAATGGACTTTTGTACTACTAATACATTTTTTGAATATTTTTTATGCAGTGAGTAATAAACACGACACTAGTAATAATTTCTAGATCAGTTGTTATAAACTGATATTTCTTGGGAAACAAAGGGTTAATATAATGAAATGGAAATGGACCAATCACAGTTTTTCTTCCAGTGGTGTCTGGGTGGTAATGGTATCTAAGGTGATTAAACAAAAAATAATAATAATTTAAAAAAGGTGAATCATGTGGTTATGTAAAACAACTGGGGTAGGACTCCATAAGTTTTTTAAACTTCATCCTCCTCCTTTTGAGCACCAGGTCCCAAACATGTCATGTATATATCACTATTTTTGTTATTGTTTTTGAATTTCATTGTACCTGGCTCAAACAAAGAAATAAATTTAATGAAATCTGGGTAAATCAGTGACTCCCCCTTCAGCACTGAACTAAAGAAATAAGCTCAGCTCAGAGCCCACGGCTGGTCCGGCCAGAGCTGGAGCCTGCGGCCGAACCCACGGCCAAACCCACGGCTCGCGGAGTTTCGGACACGTTGCATCTCACGTGGTCAGAAAAAAGTGAAAAAAAGTGTAAAGAAAAGACGTCAAACTTAAAGAAACGCTCGCGGTGCACTTTTTCAAATTAAAAGCCAGAGAGCAACAGACGTTTACAATGAAATAAATAAATAAATAATAAAAACTGCATTAACGGCGTTAAAATAATTGTCGTCGATAATGACTTAATTAGTTAATGCAAAATTAACGCACTAACTTGCCCGGCCATAAAAATAAGACATAAGACAAGACTCATGTGAGGCTCATTCTGCTTCTGATCAGATCAAAGTACATAAAACATAAAAAAACATAAACAGCTTCGTCATCATGTCGAGTGTTGTTGTAGTTAAGAATGAATCAGCATGTGTTATCAGTAAAAGGTCAGTTTTTATTTGAACATGTTTATTTCTTACACACAGTTCCTTTGAAGGGCCCATCTCCTGCAAAATACCTCTTTTCACATTGTATCTTCTGCACATAAACAAGCACAATTTGGGTTTTGGAACATCCATTACACAATAGTTCTGAAATCTTACTGATTTCTTGGAGACAGTCACAGACCAGGAACTATGAAAGTCCGACTATCGCTCCTCCCCCCGCCCGTCCTGAGAAAGCACAGGCTCCGCCCTCCAAACGTGACGTAGGCTCTGAGTGAGCCGATGTTTTGTATCATTTCTAATCTTTTTGTAATTGTTTTATTGACTGTGTTGTCCCAATATTGCTGGTTCAACTACATGTTTAAAAGAAAAAAGAAACATAGGCGACTTATGGATCCTTTTATTACTGTTTTTCATTGTTTAAAACTTGAATAATACTAAATGTTCAGCGCAACACGATCACTCAACAATAAACAATAAATAACAATAAAATATCCGATTTATGTGTCTATTGACTTGGGGTCGCCCTTTGGGAAACCTCCTTGTCCTGGCTTCTCAGGCAGTAGGGAGGGGGAGACAGACGTGCGCCCTGATAGCGGCAGGAATAAACTTTTATTCATCATGGAGATACAGCGCGTTCAACCGCATGTGTTGGACCTGGAATCGGATGAGGATTTTGAGGAGCACGAAGCTCAAGCACCGAGTCCACATCAGCTGAACATTACTGCCTGGTAAAGTTTTAATAAACACTAGTAGATAAACTTATTATATCGTGTAGACTGGAGGAGGCGGAGGAGGCAGTCAAACATGTCATAGGTGTAGCTGCCGCGTCATCGTTGTAGCACACAGGTGTCAAACATAAGGCCCAGGGGCCAGATCCGGCCCTCCAAGACCTTTAATCTGGCCCTCGGCTGAGTTTTTACTAACATATTTTAATTATATTTTCTATTAAAATGTTGTTAATTTTCTGTGGTGTTTATCACAGCAGCGTCTCCAGCGTCTCTGTACGTGGCCCCTCCCACCAGAGCAGCACAAATGAAGACTTGTCTCTTTCCAAACGCTCTTAAAGGACGATCGTTTTGACTGTTGACCGTGACACCCTCATCAGAAAAATGTCCAACATGAGAAAAGTGGAGCTGAGTGCAGGATTTTACCAAGAAAAAATTGATTTATTCCTGTCTGCATACAAGTTCATGTTAAAACACTGTGTTGAAATAGATTTTTTCTTAAAGTTTCAGGTGGTTCATAATATTATAATATTTTGTAAAAGAAAGAGTTCATCAATTAAAAAAGATTTCTGTAATAGATTTGTGTTTCTCTGCACAAATATTTGAACTTATTGCTATTTTTGGGGTTTATATGACATGAGTTTTCTGATCTGGTCGGTTGGATACGGCCCTTGGAACAAAATGAGTTTGACACCCCTGTTGTAGCAGCTTTAGTTCATTGTCACGTGGGAGGGTGGCAGAAATACGCTGCAATTTGTTAAAAAAAAAAAAAAAACACTGAATCAATCTTAAAACCACTTTGGCGACAAATACAAGGCCCACACATCACTCTTAGTAGGTAAAAACCTCTGAAAAGTTGATTTTGCATGACATGGGCCCTTTAAAGGAAGTCTTCTCTTTTTAAAATGTCTCCATGTCTTTCTTTGTTTCTGTTTCTTTCAGGTCCATTGCAGCAGTTTGGGTGGAAGCCTCGCCTCCATCCACAACGTTTATGAGGAGGAGTTTGTGAGCAGAATGACAGAGGGACGAGCCTGGATCGGCCTGACAGACTCTCGGCATGTGAGTCGACAGAAAACACACACGACTCAGAGGAGACAGATGATGCACAATCAGCTTTTAACTCATGTTTAAAGGGACAGTCCGTAATTTTGGACATAGGACCTCATTTCCTAGTGAGCCAGAGTGTTGGAGACGTGTGGAGACACTTTTTTAAATATTCCATCCAGTCCTTGTATTTTCCGCACTAGGCATTAGGCGCTCTGTCATTAAATGGTCTATTTTTTAACTTTTTCAAAAATAAACCGCGTGGGACTTTAAAGGAAACACAACAGTTGGATGGGTGAGTGGTTTTGTTTTGTATCGGTTTCAGGAGCACATATCCAAGTGTCCTGGGTCACATTTGAAAAAATCGGATCTGTGTCGTTCAGACTGTCATTAAAAGATCAGATACAGGAACATAGGGGCCAAAAAATCCGATTTGGGTCACTTCAGGCTGCAGTCTGAACGTAGCCTTAGTAAACCCATGATACACGCCCACTGCTCTGTACTTTCTCCACTTTTATATATTCACAATATACATTATACATATATATTATATATATACAACTGACATTTGGCTCTATAAACCCATGAACAGCTTCTGTTCTCAGTCATGATAATGGCAGTGTGACGTAAAATGTGTGCAGTTGTAAATGACCTGTGCAGTTTTACACTAGAGCCCTGCACTCCCACGGGACCCAACGCAAAACAGTGCGGCATGGGACACATTTTGAAAGCTCACAGCGGGTGCGGGCGGGAGCGTAACTGTATCTAAATGAGTGTAAATAAAATATACAAATGATTCATGTTTGCCTATCATACATCATTTGTGCTGGATATTTTATTTGGCATTAATAAAAACATTTTACGCAGCCTCAACCTGTGGACGTGCTCTAATCCCACGCACATTTAAGACAATTCCTTTCTGCTTCTCCGTGTTTGATACAGTTTAAGAAAGCGAACGTGCTCATCTTGAGGGATTTGCGGGGGTGAGCGGGACTGAAAATTCTGTCCCGTGCAGATTTCAATTTTAACCAACAAAGATAAAGACATTGGACCTGTGGACCATTAAACATTTTCAACTGGTTTTATGAAACATTTTGGAAACTATATAGAATGTTTAATAATTTAAAGTGCATTTTGACAGTTTGATATAATTTTCTAATAATTTACTGCTTGGGGAAAAATTCTTCATACTTTTAGTCAAGTGGCCGTTGACAAGAAAAAAACAGAAAATACAAAAATACACGAAGAATAAGAGCGTTTTAAAACAAAATCCTTCCACCTCAGTCTATCAATTCCAGAGACAATTTATGCACAGGTAAGGCAATTTAATAAGAAAATGTAGGGTGACATTTATTTTTTTTAATTTTTCAAATCATACCTATTGTGAACTTTTGTTTAGTTTTGGTCCTTGTTAAGATTCTGGAAGTAAAATGATAAACTCTGATGAAATTACGAAACTCGAAAAGACGAGATGAGATTTTTCTGAAGGTTGTTTGTTTCTGACGTGTGTTTTGTGTGCGTTTGCAGGAGGGTTTGTGGTTGTGGAGCAGCAGTGAGCCGGTGACGTACTTGGGCTGGTGCGCAGGACGACCGGACGACGACAGGGGGCAGCACTGTGCAGTCATCAACCACCAGGGTAAGAACAGACGAGTGTGGGGGGCCGCGAATCAGGTCTGTTTACTTCTAAGATTCCTAAGCCTTGACTCCTCTCCTTGATTTAGCCGAGAGTGTGTGAGGAGAGGAGGAGAAAGGAGGAGAAAGAGAAAAAGGGAGAGGAGAAAGGGATAAAGGAGAGAGGAATAGAGGAGAAGAGGGACAGAGAAGCGGAGGAGAGGAGGACAGATGAGAGAGGGACAGAGAAGAAGAGGGACAAAGGAACGGAGAAAAGAGGGATGAAGGAAAGAAGGACAGAGGAGAATAGGGACAAAGGAAAGAGGGACAGAGGAGAAGGACAGAGTAGAAGAGGGACAGATGAAAAAAGGAAAAGAGGTGAAGAGGAGAGAGGGACAGAGGAGAAGGACAGAGGAGAAGAGGGACAAAGGAACAGAGAAAAGAGGGACAAAGGAAAGAAGGACAGAGGAAAGAGGGACAGGAGAAGAAGAGGGACAAAGGAACAGAGAAAAGAGGGATGAAGGAAAGAAGGACAGAGGAGAATAGGGACAGAGGAAAGAGGGACAGAGGAGTAGGACAGAGTAGAAGAGGGACAGAGGAGAAAAGGAGAGAGAGATAGAGGAGAAGAGAAGGACAGAGAAGAGAGGGACAGAGGACAGATGAGAGAGGGACAAAGGAACAGAGAAAAGAGGGACGAAGGAAAGAAGGACAGAGGAGAAGAGGGACAAAGGAAAGAGGGACAGAGGACAGAGGGACAGGAGAAGAAGAGGGACAAAGGAACAGAGAAAAGAGGGATGAAGGAAAGTAGGACAGAGTAGAAGAGGGACAGAGGAGAAAAGGAGAGAGAGATAGAGGAGAAGAGAAGGACAGAGAAGAGGAGAGACAAAGGAACAGAAAAAAGAGGGATGAAGGAGAGAGGGACAGAGGAGAAGAAGGATAGAGGAGAAGAGGTATAGAGGAGAGAGGGACAAAGGACCAAAGAAGAGAAGAGCAGAGTAGAAGAGGGACAGAAGAAGAGGAGAGAGGAACAGAGGAGAAAAGAAGCAGAAGGACAGAGGAGAAGAAGGACAGAGGAGAGGAGGAGAAGAAGGACAAAGGAAAAGTGAAAAGAGGGACAAAGGAAAGAAGGACAGAAGAGAAGACGGACAAAGGAGAAAAGGGACAGACGAAAGAGGGACAGAGGAGAAGTAGGACAGAGGAGAAGAGGGACAGAGGAGAGAGGGACAGAGGAGAAGAGGGACAGAGGAGAGAGAGACAGAGGACTAAAGAAGCAAAAGGACAGAGGAGAAGAGGGACAAAGAAGAAGAGGGACAAAGGAACAGAAAAGAGGGACGAAGGAAAGAGGGACAGAGGAGAAGAGGGACAGAGAAAAGGACCAAAGAAGAGAAGAGCAGAGTAGAAGAGGGACAGAAGAAGAGGAGAGAGGAACAGAGGACAAAAGAAGCAGAAGGACAGAGGAGAAGAAGGACAGAGGAGAGAGGACAAAAGGAGACATCAGTAGAGGAGACAGGGACAAAGGAGACAGGGACAGAGTAAAAGAAGGACAGAGGAGAAAAGGGACAGAGGAGAGAGGAGCAGAGGACAAAAGGAGACAGTGGCAGAGGAGAGAGGAGAAGGAAGCGAGGAAAGAGAAATGAGATGTGCCCCTGGAATGAGGAGCCTGATTGTTTTTTTTATTTTGTTTTTAATGTTTTTTTTTGTTTTTTTTGTGTGTTTGTGTTTCAGGGCAGAGGTGCTGGGACGACATGTGGTGCAACGATCATTTACCTTTTGTCTGTGCACAAAAATAAACCTGCTGGAAAAAAAATCTGTGACTTAAAGGTGCATTATGTAACTTTTTGGTTGGGGCTCTGTCACCTGATCGTTTCTATGGAGATGTCCGGCAATGAGCGGAATTACCGAGAAAACAAAACAAACAAACAAAAAAGGGATATAGCCCCAAATGTGAAAACAGGAAAATACCGCCATGTAATCCATTAATTTCAACAAAGTAACTGTAATCCAATTACCACTCATTGAAACAGTATCTGTAACTGAGTACAGTTACTCATAATTTGTACTCTGATTACATAACGCCAGTACATGTAATCTGTTACTCTCCAATAATGACACTTAAAGGTTGTATAGAGGATTTTTTTAAGGAAAGAGAAATCCAGCGACAGTCCTTGACACCACCTTCCTCCTCCACAGGTCCCTCTAGAAATAACTTAGAGACCGACACCTCAGTTTTTAGACCCTTCGTCCGCTTCAGTCGCGAATCGCTGAAAGGAATCTCCAAGAATCACCTCAGTTTGTCTTCGCTCCTTTTCTCCTTCTCTTCGTCTTTCAGCGACCTCAAAAACCGACTTTCTTTTGCGGCGAACTGGTCGTCGATTCTCGTCCGACATCGCGACAAACTTTGTGCGAAGTGCGAGAGAGCCACAATTAGAAAAAGCCTCTAAGAACCGCTGCATAGTTACCTTAGAAACATAGGGAGTTTGATTGACGACCTGACAGCCAATAGAAAATGAGGCAGCCTCGTTTTCTATTGGCTGATGTTTATCTGGCCTCAACACGTCCACAGTTGATAGATTTTCTTTCTTTTTTTTTTTGGTCATCATAATTACAAAGATGCTGCGTCTCTGTAATGGTATTTTAAACTTTCACTGACAATTTGAAACAAACAAAAAATCCTCCATACAACCTTTAAGACATGTTGACCCCCAAAAACAACTATGTGTGCAAAAAGGTACTAGGAAACAGTGTGTCTACATCAAGACAGATTAAACCAAAAATACCAAATCTTCATCTCACTCACTTCTCCTTCCTGCTGTTGTTCCATAAAAAATCCCCTTTACCACTGACCCCTGAACACATCACATCACATCACACATCAATTTCAAACTCAAACTTATCTAACGAATGTGGACTTTGACCTGGAGATGGAAAATGTTTTATTAAAGTGAACTTGTTCCATCCACTGTAATCATAAACTACCTCCTTTATTAAATGTGGATGTTTTCCTCCTCACTCCTCAGACCCAAAGACTCTCAGACAGGTCAGTACTCACTGATGCGGACACTTAATGTATCATGTCCTGCTCTTCTTCTTTGTTCTCACTTGTACAATCGTCTCTTAGGTTTCCTCTGTAGATCTTCAGTGTGTTCGTGATGAAGCTGCTGGTTGTGTTGCTGTTCGTTGGTGCTGTGATGGCTCAGAGAAGAGAAGGTCTAACTCTAGAATGGACTCTTCTGATTGTGTTTTTACTTGGACCATTTATGTACAAATAAAGTTATATTTTGTTCTTTCTCTTTCTTTTTTATAGGTACTGCAACACCAATGTCTGTGAATGATAATCATCAGGAAGAAGGTAAGGTTCTCAAAAGGGTTACGTCCAGTGAATCAAGTCGAGTTCATTTGTGTGACATGATGTTCCAGGTCCAACTGATGAATCAGACAAAGAATCAGAAAAAGAATCAAGCGGTGGCGGTGAGTAAATTTTGTCTTTAAAGTGATAGTGTGGAACGTTGCCTGATTCCATGGAAAATCATTGCTAATCAGTGAATCCTGAAGTAACTTGAGTCTGTTTTCAGTCCATAAATCATTGAGAGCTTGGGGTTTGAATACAAAGGAAGTATGGAGAGAATGGAAAACATTCAATGATCGGCGTTTCATATTTATGAGGTTTCCGTTGTCATGGAGCATGGCTCAGGTAACTCCATTTTAAATATGTCTACATCTCTCACTCTCTAATAGTAAGTAACCCTTATCACAACACAGTTTAACAATTTAAGCTTGACAATAATCAAGAACATATGGCATTGTTTTTATTGATTGATTGATTTTCTTAATTCAGAACCTGTTCTTTTGCATTCCTGTAAAACTCAGACCTTAATCTACAATATAAGTAGATATAACAAGATGTATAACTCTGATAAGTTATATATCATACCCTTTGTACTGGAACGTTGCTCAAAGAAATAAACCAAACTCTCTTTCTCTTAGAGGGCGTGTGTATACATTTCGGTGGAGGCCTCGCCACTATTCACACTCCTGAAGAAGCTGCTTTTGTGAGCAAATTGGCACAAGGAAGAGAAGCCTGGATTGGCTTTTCAGATGCACAGAATGTAAGACTATCAAACCCACATCTATTCAACTCAATGCATGATTTTTTTTAAGAACCCTAAAAAGCTGTAATTAAACAATATTTGTAAATCTCTTTGCAAATTTAAGGAAGACTTCTGGCTATGGCTCAACAGTGAACCCATCACCTACACACAGTGGTGCCCAGGGGAACCCAATAATGCGAATGGAGAACATTGTGCAGCTATTAACTTCACCAGTATGACATCTTTATATAAATGTGATTTCTGTCTTAATAATGTCACATGTTTTAATGTGCACTTCTCATTTTCAGGTGACCAGTGCTGGAATGATGAAAACTGCAACAATAAATTTCCCTTTGTCTGTGAAATAAAAAAAAATAATTTAAAAGGCATCCATATCTACAATCCAAATCTAGTCTTTCAATCCATTTTAATGATCCACTGTGTAACTTTTCTGATGGAGATGTCATTGCGTTGCTGGGAATATTTCAAAGTATGGCATTTAACTTATCTGTCTCCATGGGAACAAGTCACAGGTCAGATCTGTTCACAATAAGAATGCATGTTTTCTAGATATTTTTGAGCAGCAGCTGAATTGGTTAAAAATATAAGTTTAATGCCATTCTATGGAATATTCCAAGAAAAAGCAATAACAGTTCTATGTTATTTCTTACTTTCTTCATACTTTGTACATTTCAGATACATATGGAATACATCCAATAAATGAAGCAAGATATATATGTTGACAAACTCTTGGCCTACTCTCCTTCCTTGTTGTTGTTGTGAGGACCCCCTTGAAAAGGAGATGGCAAGACATCTCAAGGGGCTTATCCTCTAAATAAATAAATTCTAAAATTCTCAATGATCCTTATGAAAAAAGGTCTCCTGAAATGGTTTTCTCTTCACAGCTGTGTCAGAATCAAGAAATGCCAAGTGTTCAAAGCAGTGATCAAAGTGAAATGTGGCTGTATTTAAAATTTTAAATAAATTTTGAGTTATTTTGAGTTTTCGTTTTTGTTTGCTACATCCTATATGTGTCCATTCATAGTTTTGATGCTTTCAGTGAGAATCTACAATGTAAATAGAAACAGAACATTAAAAAGTGTGTCCAGAGTTTTGCTAGTGTACATAAACAAACATTAGAGACAACCTGTTACACACAGAACAGTTTACAGTTCTTTCAACTGAGTCATAGGCCATAATATAATGTAACATTATTCTCTGTTGGGTTAGTGGCTCTTAGGGCCTCCACACACTACAGGATTTTTCAGTCTTAATACATTTTTAAACCTGCGACAAAAAGCACACACCAGACAGAAGAAGAATCTTATGAGATTTTAAATCTCTGATCACAAAGACTTCTGCAGGATCTGTCTGTGGTCCACAGGCTGTAAAATTGTGAGCGTGATCATGTCAGCTGTTTCCTGTCTACAGTAAAACTGCTCGCTTTGAGACTCTTCAGTGTTCAAAGATCAGAGCTCTGCACTTCTAGTTTAGATACAAGTCAGAACTGTGTTATTATTTGTGAAATGTGGTGCAATAGTTCAGATTCATGATTTTTAATGCAGAGGTCTGGTGATAAAGTCCACAGGAAGTAGAGTCACTGTCACTAATTTGCAGCTTCACCTCGATCCGTGCGCTGTGTGGATGTAAACAGACACACGAGGAACTACTCTTGCCTTTTTACTTCTAAAGAACACTTCAAACTAGATTCACAGCTCTGTTTAGTAGACTGGGTGTAATTATTTACGGAGGACAAATTCTACTTTACGTGAGGTGAGAAATAATTTCACTATTTCCTGAGTTTGTATGTTGCGTCTCTGTGTCAGTCACTCTGTCTGTCCCTGATGCTGTTTTATTAGCTGTTCTTCAAGCTGCTACAGTTCAAGTCTGAAAAACACCTAAAGACCTCTAGTTGTTACTGACACAAGTCTGAAGAACATCCAATGTTTTCTCAGAAATTATCATACCCCATCTGCCCCTCATATATTCTGTAAGTGAGAACAGCATTGTGTTGCACTGTATTATATGAATTGCAAAATGTGTTGAACTGAAAACAATATTTTTTTTATGTTAAAATGTCATTAAAAATAAATGTGTATACTATCGCTGTGACTTAAGTCAAAATAGACAGTTTTTTTTTTTATTTAATTTTATTTATTTATTTATTTTTTTTTTTTTTTTTGTTTTTTACATTAAATTGGTCAGAATCTCTAATCTTTAATTCACAATACAGGATATTGGCCCACCAGCCACAATTGTGGCTGACCATAAAACTCACTTTTCATTCACTTTGGGACAAAAAAAAAAAAGAAGCTTGATCATGCCAAAGTGCTACAAATGGCACATGAATTTCATCCTTTCATTCTTGTGGAAAAAATGGGGCATTAATGGGTTAAACTGCTGCACATCAGGTTGGTGAAGTTGCACTGTATTGTTTTTTTATTACTCAAACATGTATGGATGACATAACTTTTCCTCTCACCCACTCCTAATTTTAACTAGACCTGTTATAAACAGTAAAACATGTTTGCTTTGCAACGTCCTATCAATTCAAATACTTTTGTTTGTCAAACTCTTCTAGTGTCACACAGCGCTGTCAGCGTAGATATCAGGGCATCTTACTGTAGCAAACTGTTTTTGTGTGGCTTTTCATGGACAGAGGTGGTTAAGAATCTATAAGCACCTCAAGCTCAAAATCACATCAAAACTCTCACAAGCATAAAATATGACTTATTATTCCAACTTTAAAAATGACTTGTTATTGACATTTGTTATTATAAAAAACTCATGGCAACTTATCACAAGGAAGTTACTGATAATATCTTTTCCAGGAAGTAGGCTGACTTATTTGTTTGTTTTTTTTTCTATGGTGAGACACTTGGCCTCAGCACTTGGTTATAACTTATTATCTTTTTCCCAAAAACATCATCCAACAAATCATCAACTGCAGCATTAGTGGTCAGTCAGGGGACTGTAACTTACAAATTAGTATTAATGTTATAATAATTAATAATTAAATAACATGGAATTTTTGCAGGTTTTCTTTCAGTACTGGTGTTGTCAGTCAGAATAGAATAGCCATGTCATTAAATACTTTGTTGGAGTATTAGGGGGGAAATGTATTTGTTTATTTAGTAATTTCCTCTCCCAAAGACATTCGTACGAGGGCTGTAATGAACTAAAGAAACTCTTGGTTGACTTAAGACATGTTGACCCCCAAAAACAACTATGTGTGCAAAAAGGTACTAGGAAACAGTGTGTCTACATCAAGACAGATTAAACCAAAAATACCAAATCTTCAGCTCACTCACTTCTCCTTCCTGCTGTTGTTCCATAAAAAATCCCCTTTACCACTGACCCCTGAACACATCACATCACATCACACATCAATTTCAAACTCAAACTTATCTAACGAATGTGGACTTTGACCTGGAGATGGAAAATGTTTTATTAAAGTGAACTTGTTCCATCCACTGTAATCATAAACTACCTCCTTTATTAAATGTGGATGTTTTCCTCCTCACTCCTCAGACCCAAAGACTCTCAGGCAGGTCAGTACTCACTGATGCGGACACTTAATGTATCATGTCCTGCTCTTCTTCTTTGTTCTCACTTGTACAATCGTCTCTTAGGTTTCCTCTGTAGATCTTCAGTGTGTTCGTGATGAAGCTGCTGGTTGTGTTGCTGTTCGTTGGTGCTGTGATGGCTCAGAGAAGAGAAGGTCTAACTCTAGAATGGACTCTTCTGATTGTGTTTTTACTTGGACCATTTATGTACAAATAAAGTTATATTTTGTTCTTTTTCTTTTTTATAGGTACTGCAACACCAATGTCTGTGAATGATAATCATCAGGAAGAAGGTAAGGTTCTCAAAAGGGTTACGTCCAGTGAATCAAGTCGAGTTCATTTGTGTGACATGATGTTCCAGGTCCAACTGATGAATCAGACAAAGAATCAGAAAAAGAATCAGGCGGTGACAATAAGTAGATTTTGTCTTTAAAGTGATAGTGTGGAACTTTGCCTGATTCCATGGAAATAGAAAACCATACTTCTGAACATTCTCCATGCAGATGGATGTGTTTTATGCTGTACTGTGAAAGATTATAGCCAAAGTACATTTCCACAGTAAGCATGAGTAAATTAAGAAATAAGTATGAGACATGTTTGTCGAGATACAAGCCCACTCAGAGTAATAAAATCCTTTAATTCAGTCCCCAAAAAATAAATCATGTTTAATCAGTGAATCCTGAAGTAATTTTGATCTGTTTTCAGGAGGACCTGGGACGTGGGAACCATTCAATGGGCGGTGGTTCACGTTTGTCACGGCCCAGATGCCATGGAGCATGGCCCAGGTAATTCTGTTTTAAATGTTTACATCTCTCTTCCGCTTTGGTATAAACACGCAGTTATATGTGTGTGTTAACTACTTGCTTGACTTTTGTGTCTGTCTGCTCCCACTGCTCCGTACACAACCCCTCCCCTCCTGTCCCGTACAGAACACGCACACACACGCAGCATATTTTATGTCTTCACATATACTTTAACTGAACACACAGATGAACAATTAAAATTTTACTTGGATTATAATAAATACATATTTATTTATGTGTTTATTGTACCTTTGCATTTCTGTAAAGCTCAGTACTTAATGTATAAGATGTATAACTCTTATAAATGAATTTATGCAAATTAAAACAAAAACAACTAACATCATAACTCATAAATGTAGAATTACAGCGCCAAGTGCTTCACTCACCACGGGCACCACTGATTTTTCTTCTCCAGCTCTTCTTTGAGCCCCTCGGATTTCTTTAGTTTCTCGTGTTCCTTTTCTCTGATGTTCCCATTGCTTGATATTGCGATGTCCACCGGCGTGGCTTTGTTCTGCTGTTTATCCACCACGACACTGCGCTGTTAGTCCATCACCATCTGTCAGTCTGTATCTGAAGTCCCACAGGATCTTGGCTCAGTCATTCTCCGCAACCTTTGAAGGGGTTTCCCACCTTGACCAGTGAGTCGATGTCTTGCTCGCTCGGAGCGCACAGCTGATACCATCCATGTAGAGGAGATGACTGAAATGAGTCGAGACCTGAGTCAGTCTCCGTAGCCAGTGCTGATGATGCTGATATTAGCTGTGATGATGTCTAACATGAGCTTCCATGTTGTGGAGAGACAGGTTATTGGCCAGTAGTTGGATGGGACTGCACCCTTTGAGGGATCTTTCAGAATTAGCATCATGCACCCTTGGGTTAACCATTCAAGGTGAGTCCCATCCCTTAGCAGCTGGTTCATTTGTGCTGCCAGGCATTCATGGAGTACAGTGAGTTTCTTTAGCCAGTAGGTGTGGATCATGTCAGAGCCTGGAGCTGGACTCTTTCCTGGATGTCTGCCACTGTGATGGTGACTGGATTCTGTTCAGGAAGGTTGCTGTGGTCTTCTTCAGATCCACCAGCCACTGTGCATTGGTCTTATGTGATGCCATATGCCTGTCCAGTAATTTTCAGTCTGCAGCCTTGGTGGGTCAAATAAACCAAACTCTTTCTTTCTCTTAGATGTCTTGTATGACTTTGGGAGGAAGCCTTGCCACTATCCACAGCCCCCAAGAAGATAAGTTTGTGAGTTATCTGGCGCAGGGAACAAGAGCCTGGATTGGCTTTTCAGATGCACAGAATGTAAGGCTATCAAATACACATCTGTTGGACTCATTATTGCAGTGTTTTTTTTGTTTGTTTTTGTTTTGTTTTTTTTAAAGCTGTAAATGTCTTTGCAAATTTAAGGAAGGACACTGGCTATGGATCAACAGCGAGCCTGACACCTACACAGGGTGGTGCCCAGGACAACCTGACAACTGGCATGGAGAACACTGTGCAACTATTAACTTATCCAGTATGACATCTTCATATAAATGTGATTTCTGTGTTCATAATTTCACATGTTTTAATGTTCATTTCTCATTTTCAGGTGACCTGTGCTGGAATGATGAAAACTGCAACAACAAACGTCCCTTTGTCTGTGTGAAATAAAAACTGAACTCAAGCTTGTAAGCTAAAAAGGCATCCATATCTACAATCCGAACCTAGTTTCTTAATCCACTCAGCTAATGATGCGCTGTGCATTTTTTCTGGTGGAGGATCAGCCACCTGCTTGTGTACATGGAGATGTCATTGCATTGCAGGGAATATTTCACAATATGGCATTTAACTTGTCCATTTCCATGAGAACAAGTCACAGGTCAGATCTGTTCACAATAAGAATGCATATTTTCTAGATACTTTTGAGTAGTGTTGTTCCGATACAATTTTTTGGGGATCTGATACCGATACTTGCATTGGTGTACTCACCAATACCACAGTGTGAAGAAGTACACTTAAGCTACTTGATCTGTAATATACAAAAGCAAAAAAGAAATGCAAGAATATATAAGATTTTGAGGACTAAAAAATTGGGGAAATGTATAATGATCTTAACAATAAGTAGTGCTAATTTAAGCTGATTTAAGCAGTTTCACTTTCTACCACAGTGCAGATAAAAACAGCAATGAGGTCTGTAAAAAGACGCTCATCATGCTGCTTTTACCGCTATTGTCAGGCTGCACTCTCAGTTATTTTACTAAGTTGAGAGTCCACACTAAAGGCTTAATGAAAGTATCAAAGAGGTAACTCTTTTCTGTCTTTTCTGTTATTGTTGGTGTGTTTTAGGTGTCTGCAGAGTCTCCACAGTCTGTGTTTAACCTGCTCTATGCGTGAGTGGCAGCATAGCCACTGAGGTAAAAAGCGGCTGCACGCATCTAGTTTTACTTCATGATTTCATGGATGAATGATTGCATTAATATATGTTGGGTTTTATTGGCATGTACTCTATTTATGATATCATCCTGAAATTAGTAATTTTGCTATAACCTGGCGCAAACATACTGCCTCTTTGTGTAGGTCAATGTTTTTATGTGCATTGTTCCTGATAGATAAATAAATAAACAAACAAAAACAACAGGTCCTCATTTAGGAAAATACACTGTGGTCGGATTGGATCGGTGATTTAGTCTGAGTACTCGCTGTTAGTGGTACTTTTGAACAACAAAAAAGATAAGTTTAATGCCATGCCACAGAATATTCCATGAAAAACCAATAACAACTCCATGTTCATTTCTTACTTTCTTCATATATATGTGCCTTCTCTCAATGATATATATATTATATATATATATATATATATATATATATATATATATATATATATATATATATATAAATAAATAAAGGTCTCCTGAAATGTTTTTTTCTTCACAGCTGTGTCAGGGTCAAGGAATGCCAAGTGTTCAAAGCAGTGATCAAAGCAAAATTGGCTGTATGTAAAAACCTGAAACAATTTTGGAGTTATTTTGAGTTTTCTTTTTTGTTTGCTACATCCTATATGTGTCCATTCATAGTTTTGATGCTTTCAGTGAGAATCTACAATGTAAATAGAAATAGAACAGATGCTATAGTTAAATCATATGTGACGTTAACAGTCTGTTGTTCTGTTCTATTGTTTTTACTAGAACTTGACTTTCAACTTGAAATGTCGGTTCCTGGTCTCTGATTTTATAGAATAAATTTCCTCCAAAAAGTGCGACTTATAGCCTGGAGTGATTTATATATGTTTGTTTTTTTCTTCTTACGCATTAAGCACTTTTTGGCTGGTGCAACTCATACAAATATGTGACTGTAGTCATTTTCACACACGACCACCAGACATGGAGCGTAGACTCCAAGCAGGATCACGCCCCAACAACTTCATTCACACATGCAGTCATCAAACAAACTGTCACTTTATTTGTCTTAGATTTAAGCACATCACAAGGTGGAACAGAGCATTTTGAGCTTAGGAGATGTAGACAAACTAGGGGTGTAACAATATCCAAGTCTCACGATACGATATATCGTCACTGTATGAACCTCACGGTACAATATTTATTACAATATCGTGGGAAAGCTCATGATATGGTGGGGAGGCTCACGATTAGAGATGTACCTGTATTTTGCGCACTATAGGGGCTCTGGATTATAAGGTGCACTGTCACTGAATGGTCTATTTTCGAACTTTTTTCACAAATAAACCGCACCGGACTATAAGGCGCATTAAACGAAACACAACAGTTAGATAAGTCAGTCAAACTTTATTTAACGCGTTCACAATAACTCTCAACTTTGTTCAATTGTAACGTGTAAAAAAAAAATACTGTCTGAGAACGCTAAATTGTTCGAGTATTCACAATAAGTCATAATAGTTCAAACAGTTGGGCGATTCTGGCGTCCAGCACGTCCACATCCCTCTCGTCATGATCCGAGTCAGTGTGGTTACTGTTCTCCTGCAGTTCAGTGATGATTCTGGTCTTGGTGAAAGCTCGGACCACAGTTGATCCTGATCCTTAGCCCGGGCGTCCACGATCCGTTGGCAAATAATGACGATTGAGTCATTAATGTTGAATTCCCTCGCAGTTGCTCTATTCCCATGTTTTACTGCGTGATTTATAGCCTTGAGTTTAAAGTCCACGTTGTGAGCGTGTCTCTTGTCATGATATTAAAAGGAATCACAGTATGTTTTACTCCTGATGCTCCTGACTGCGGGAGCCGTAATGCTGCAAGTGGAGCGGCTTTGTAGTTTACTAAAGTCGTACTAAGACAAACCAATAAATTAATATATAAGACCCTCTGGATTATAAGGCGCACAGTCGTTTTCTGATTAAATTAAAACCTTTTAAGTGCGACCTATAATGCAGAAAATACAGTAACAATATCCAAATCTCTCTGTATGATATTTGTGATATTTTGTGGAGGCAAACTAAGCTGTTAATATGTGACTTTTTTCTCATAAAATGCCTTGATAAGACTTAATCAAAAGAACTAAGACTTAAAAGTGTTAGAACTGTTATTTCTTCTTGTAGTCTGCACTGAAATAGAGTAAGGGATCATGGTCTAAGTAGTTCCCTCTGTCTTTTTTTTTAGACACTGCTGCACCATAACTGTTAATTTAAGCAAATTCGATATTTTGTGATGATCCACGATGTTACTGAGAGAACTTTGACGATATTGGTTATTGTTACATCCCTAAAACAGACTAATAATAAAGTGTTACTCAAACGTGTGACACAAAACACAACTCCAGGTCTCTTTTTGAAGAGATAATAATATTTTTACACGTCTTAAAGCTCACAAGAGTCACTTTTGCGTAATACGAGACCTTCAAACCGATGTCCGCATTTCTAGGACCGCAACACAAATATTATAGCTCTCCAGCCTATTGTTTCTTCACACGGCGCCGCGTTCACTGTTCGCCACATCATCATCGCACACGCCGCACACATCCCCAGCGGTAAACCCGAGCACGGCGCTATTTTTATCGCCTCCATTGTCTCGCCGGCCGCACCACTCATCATTTTAACGGACTGCGAGAGACACCGGCCGCGACAACTGTTGAGACGGACTGTTCTGGGACGGCCGCCGGACCGGAGCGGAGGGATGACCGCGGGGGCACGGGTGGGGGAGTGGGCCCGGGGTGAGCGATGGGCCCGTGTGGAGGCGGCAGGTGCGGGGGGCTTCCGGGCAGGTGCCGCTCCTGCCGGGTCGATAAAACCAGGATTAGAACTATCAGGGAGATGGATAGTGGACAGGTAGGCTCCGGGCGGCGTTAGATGGGCCGAGCCGCTGCGGCGAAGTCGTAACTCAGAGAAAGGCGTGTGTTTATAGTCGGGATGGGGAGGTTTGTCAGAGGAGGGAAGAAGAGACTAGAGTGTATCTGCGGGACATGTGTGTGTGAATTCAAGCGACTAATAAAAAAAGTATAGGGTAACACTTTATCATAACTACACCTTATTTAGCCTTAATAAAGCATGAACAAAGGCTTAATTAATAATGATTCATGCTTAGTAACTACTTAATTATTACCTGAATTAGCACTTAACTTGCACTTAATTCGCCTGTGCTGTAAATAGTTACTCATAAGTATTTCTTACTTAATTACTCATGAACTAACCATTTGTGTGTGCATTTGTAAATGTATATTTAAGTACAAATTTGAGCATTTATTAATGATTAGTAAGCCATGAGAGAATGATTTACTAGTAATGCATTATTGTTTCTCTGGAATTTGACCAACCTTAACAAATGCTTAATAAAGCATAATTAGTCTTCACTTTAGAAAAGCTCTCAGAAAGACTTAACTAACAGAAAACAGCTGCCTGAATGATCATTGTATTGTATTATCAGTAAATCATTCTCTCATGGCTTACTAATGATTAATAAATGGTTAGTTCATGAGTAATTAGGAAGTATTGAGTAACTATTTACAGCACAGGCGAATTAAGTGCAAGTTAAGTGCTAATTCAGGTAGTAATTAAGTAGTTACTAAGCGTGAATCATTATTAATTAAGTCTTTGTTCATGCTTTATTAAGGATAAATAAGGTGTAGTTATTATAAAGTGTTACCACTATTGCAGCACTTTAAGTTACTCTCACCAAAATAACTGTGAAGATGCTGAAATTTTGCACCGTATATGGACTGAACCAGGACTGAATCAGAGCTGAACCAGGACTGAACTAGGACTAAAACAGGACTCACTGTCGGGACGGGCTTGAAGGTGACGCAGGAGAAAGGAGCGGCTCTGCTCTGCTCCTCACGGAGGTAAGAGCGGCTGTCGCCCGATCGTGCTTTACAGACACCCTGCTGCTCGGGCTCGAGGTCCTGATTTCAGCAACTGTTTGCGGGGACCCGACCCGGTGTAAGACTCTGCTACAGCGCGTAACTTCTACCTTCCTTCAGCGTGTCCAGAAGTCCAGCTTTTGGTGTGACAGTTTGCATCTTCCTCTGTCTTTTGGGTGTGACCGCAGGAGTCTTTGTCGGTGCAGAACGTTTTGTCGATATTGTGGGTTTTGTCGGGGAGAAAACGTACAAACATACAGCACTTCAGAATCACACTGATACAGATCCAACATTTATTTAAATTTGGCAGCTGAACACATTCTGTTCTGTATAGGAGACATGAGTCCCTGTGTCAGGACGCAGCGGGAGGAACGCAATACGTGCTCATACACTGTAAAAACAAAAAGCATGCAAAATTGCACTAAAAAAATCCGTGAAACAGCGAGACCGCGAAAGGTGAAAACCAGGTCTAAACTAGAACTGACCCAGGTCTAAACCAGGTCAGCGTGGAGTTCTGTGTCGGTCCTTTCGCTCGTGGTTCATGTACAAGTGCAGTGCCAGTGTAATTGTTGACGTCACGGGCTGGTCGCCATGTTAAGCTGTTGCAGCTAAGTTAGTTACATAATTAGTAATTAATTAGATTTAAATGGTACAATTTTGTTTGGTTATTAATGAATGTATAAATGTAAAACTTTAAACATGCATCAATAAGTTCTGTAAGTAAGAGGCAATGGAAATGTTGTATAATTGAGCAATTTAATATGTTTCAGTACATGATTTATATGTTTGATTTAAAAGAAAGGAAACTGATACATGATTTGAACATTTGGGGGCGCACTAGTGCCTGTCTGTTGTATTCTCATGTAATTACATGTGAAGAAACGCTGTTCTTGAACTTGCTCACAATCAGTGTTGGGAGTAACGTGTTATAAAAGTAACGAATTACTGTACTGCGTTGCTTTTTGCAGTAACGCAGTAATGTTACGGCATTACAGGGGAAAAAATGTAATATTTTACTCGGTACAAATGTGACTAACGTGTGTTACAAAGCATTTTTAACCTGGATTGAAGTGGTGGGTTTTTCGTTTTTCTTCATATAAATTTGCTAAAATTACCGCGATATCAGCAGGCGGTGAAACGCTGGAGACGCGCCCACGTAGACCGTCAGGTGACCGCGGGCGAAAGGACCGGCGCAGAACTCCACACTCCACGGGGCGAACCGGAGCTGATGCCCGATCGCACCTTGCAGGCTTCTAAGGTCTAGTCCAAGATTAGTCCTGGTTTAGACCTGGTTTAGTCCTCAGTTCACTCCTGGTTCAGTCCTGGTTCAGTTCTGGTTCAGTTCTGGTTCAGTTCTGGTTCAGTTCTGGTTTAGTCCTGATTCAATCCTGGTTCAGTCCTCAGTTCAGTCCTGGTTTAGTCCTGGTTCAGCTCTGGTTTAGTCCTGGTTTAGTCCTAGTTCAGTCCTGGTTTAGTCCTGGTTCAGCTCTGGTTTAGTCCTGGTTCAGCTCTGGTTTAGTCCTGGTTTAGTCCTAGTTCAGTCCTGGTTTAGATCTGGTTTAGTCCTGGTTCAGCTCTGGTTTAGTCCTGGTTTAGACCTGTAGTCTGTAGTCATCCTTAATAAGGAATAAACAGGAATCAATCCTCTGACCTGCAGGTTGGTGGTCGAGCGCTCCACCCACTGAGCCACTGTCGCTCACCTTAGAGTCTTAGATTTATCTCCCGGCTTTGACCATTTGCTTAAGGTCTCTACCTGCTTTCCACATTCAAACTATCTTAAAAACAAGCTAATCTGAACACATTTTTATTTGTCAGATGAAGAAGGAAGCCTAAAAACATGTATAAAAACATCATAAAGCCAATATACAATAAGCTTTATAAAGGCATGTTGGTGTAATCCAGTCCAGACAACCACTGAACCCCCCCCTCTG